CGTCTGAAGAGGAGGATGAGGAGGACGAGAAGGGTGATAAGAACGAGGAGGAAAAAGACAACGGCAAGGAGGAGGAGAGGACAGCCCTATACCAGAAGAGTGTCACGTTCATCGTCGAAGTCTTGGAGCACGCCAGCGGCCAACGTGGTGCACCCGGCGAGCTGGGGGGCGGGAGAAGGACGGAGGCGCTGCCGTGGGAAAGCTCCCTAAACGCTGGAGGAGGGCGAGGGAGGGCAACACTCGGGGAAACGTGAGACTCTGGTACGGGGGACTCGGATTGGCCTGACGGTGGCCATCATGTAAATGCCGAGACCCAATCTGAAATGTGACGCGGGATCCCGCTACACACATCCCACGACAACAAAACCGTCAAAATCCTGGACGCGCTCGTCATAAAACTTCGGCTAACCCGAGATCTGGCTCACTCGAATCTTACGTCCCCCGAAACAAATGGGGGGCTGCCCAAAGCTGGAAATCTGTCGAGAGCCGACTGAAACGCTCGACATACTGAGTCCCCGAAGCTTCGCTCGGCCGTCGGTTTCAGACAAATCCTGACCCCTTTACGCAGGGAGCAACGACTAAGACCCCCCCCCCCGGGCCACCAAAGGCGACACCAACACACCACCGCACCCGCGGGGAAATGGAGGGGGAAGGAGAGGCGCAAAGAAGGAACAGCGGGAGGAGGAGGAGGAGGAGGAGGAGGAGACGGAGGGGTCTGACACCCGCCGATCTGAACTTTCCAATCCGCGGTCCCAGACGCCCAACAGGATGGTTGTGATTACGATGCGTTTTAGAACAATGGCAAACAGGGGCCCCTAGAGGTCAAACGGCAACGAATGGCGCATACACGCACGTTACACATGCACTACCGCACACCCGTGAATCTCTATCACGGGCTAGCCGGCAGACCGCGCAGTGCCGCTGATCTCAGTAAGCCTCCAGGGGCAGTAAAAAGAGTATTCCCATGTTGGGATTGTCCAAGTCAAAAGCAGCCAGGACTCAGTCCCCCACTTCCCCGATGGGATAGCATTCGTCCTGGCCCTCGCCAGTTGCTTCTTGACCATCTTTACAATAGATTTAGGGTCTGGGTCTACGCCATAACAACTTGCACTGACGACTTTAACAGGGAAGCGTGTAGGCATATTCTTCGTCAGGCAACCAGCATCCATAATTTGAGGGAGTTTCTGTGGAACTCACGTCATCCTCACCCCCGGCGCGAAGAGCACGAGCCCAGAGCGGCCTCCGGCACCGTTTCCGGACGGATCCGCTGGATCCGCTGGATCCGGTGACGAATCCCAAACCGGCGCCCTCGCCTGAGACATCCTCACAAAACGGGCCCCGGGGGGGATGCCCAGAGGAGCCCAGAGCGGCCTCCGGCACCGTTTCCGGACGGATCCGCTGGATCCGCTGGATCCGGTGACGAATCCCAAACCGGCGCCCTCGCCTGAGACATCCTCACAAAACGGGCCCCGGGGGGGATGCCCAGAGGAGCCCAGAGCGGCCTCCGGCACCGTTTCCGGACGGATCCGCTGGATCCGCTGGATCCGGTGACGAATCCCAAACCGGCGCCCTCGCCTGAGACATCCTCACAAAACGGGCCCCGGGGGGGATGCCCAGAGGAGCCCAGAGCGGCCTCCGGCACCGTTTCCGGACGGATCCGCTGGATCCGCTGGATCCGGTGACGAATCCCAAACCGGCGCCCTCGCCTGAGACATCCTCACAAAACGGGCCCCGGGGGGGATGCCCACTGTGGTGAACTTGGGTGGTTGTAAGATTTAGCAGACTTAGCAAGTTGGTTTCGGAACTTACAAGTTGCGCTAACTGAGCGCAAGTAGTTGCAAGTACTTGCATGTTGACGTGCAGCCACTGCATTTTTAGCTCCCGAATTGTTGTTTTTCTATAAGCGATGCGCAAGGCGAGCGACACCTGCATTGGAAAGCAATGTTTTTTTTGCGCTGCTGCGCATAAGCAAGCAGGTAGCAGCTCACGCGATGTCTCACCACTTGAACATGGGAGGCACTATCGCGATTGATCCGCCTCCATGGCGCCTGCATGCCTTGCAAGTCTTCGAACCTTTCTAACCAACCACAACGGACGTCCCGCATCGCAAATGTCCACCATGCATTTTTCACAATTGCACGTGTGCAAAGCGGACAGTTGCTTGCAGACGGCACGCCCGTATAGTGGTGGTGATGGTTCGGAAACTTGGCAAACGCCCCGCCATGGCAGTGATGATGTCGGTCGTGTGCACCAGCTGCAAGTCGTCGTCGGTCGGGTGCACGGTCAGCACGCCGAGCCGATCATCGTAGCAAGGGGTGTCCCAGATTGAAACCAGCGATACCATCGTTCCGTTTACAGCAGCGTGAAACCAAACCTCCCCACACGCCTTGCCACCATTGGCAACGGAGAGCAGCACGATGTCGCGGGATTGGCATGTCGACAACGTCGACACCCGAGCCGAAAGAGCCGTGGTCGTGCTGTCCCTGGGGAGGCGCTGGCCGAGCTTCTCCTCCAGGAAGGCGTGCATCTTCTTAGGTGCCGCCCTGGGACACACCAAGTGCGGCGAGAAGTCGAACACGTTGGTGCTGCGCAAATTTGCCAACTGCAGGCATGTGACCTCGGACAGCACACTCCTCTCAGAAGCTGCCAGCTGGCGCATATCATTGCAGAACCGCTTGGGCACTCTGTGCTTTCTCTCGTGCACAAAACACGACATGAGGCATCCGAGCTTGATCAGGTGCCTTGGGAAATGGACCAGCCAGTGAAACTTCGGTGTCATGTATTCCTGCCACCCTGCTGCTTCACAAGCATCCAGAAACGCGTTCGTCCTGTTCCTGAGAGCGTCAGCAGACGCACGGGATGATGCTGCAGCTTCGATGCACCACACCAAATCACACAAACGAACAAAAGCGGTGCACTCCGCGCGTGCTACCCCTGCAAGCAATATAACCGTCATCACATACGTATACATCATTGGCAGCAAAGTCAATGCCTCACTCGCCTGGCACTTAAACGCTTTCGCCTTGCCGTTGGAAGTATCGCGGCCCTTCTGAAAAAGCTTAGCCAAGTTATCAGCGCTGCCGTGCGCGATGGGCAGTGACCACATCTTGATGTATTCCTCGAAACGTGAGTATACGTTGGACAAGCCATTATTCTTACAACCTGCAAGAAAGAGATGCGTCGAAATGTTAAAAACACCTCGAATAAAGAATGCGTGCATCCAGTCGTGGCAATACTGGTCAACAGGTAAGATAATGCGATCCAGCTGTGGATCGAGCAGCATGTTCTGCTCATTATGGTTGAAACCGAACGCTTGCCCGCGGATCCTGGGGCCACACTCGTCATCCTCGCATTCCCCTTCCAATCCCCCTCCCCTTCATCATGTTCCCACCCTTCATCATCCTATAGGTCATTCTCCCTCCTTTGAGTTTGCAGGCCCCCCGCAGGTCTTGAAATTGGCGTTGGTGTCCGTCGCGTGGAATGCAGCCAGCCGCCGCACGCTCCCCCTGATGTCATCATTCGTCGCAAAATCGATGTCACCCTCACGCATGACGTCTGCTCTCAGCAGGGTCACCCCATCTTCGTCGACCAGGGAGCTGTCCATCGCAATTACATTGCGGCAAAGCATGCAGCACTTGGTACCTGCATCTCCTTTAATCAGCCAAACCAACTTCTGGGCACCGCCGTCCTGGAGAACCATCCCAAGTTTGCAATGTAACCTGACTCCAGGCTCCAATGAAACGCCCGTTGTGTGCAGTGAGCAATCCGACCTACAAAACATGTCTTTTATAAGCATTTTGAATGCCTGTGCGACGCCTGCATCTATATCGGATACACGTTTTGACCTCAGGGCACCTACGCAAAACCACGCATCCTCTTGCGACATCACTTCTGGCCCCAGTTCTAGAAACGATACGTAGAACATCCACATCTTCCTTGAGTTGTCTGGGGATAGTTGGTTGCCTGGTGCTACCTCGTCAGAATAAAATATCAACGACCACGGTCGCTCGAAAGAGCACGGCCTCGCCGCCAAAGTCTTTTGAATGAGGGCCCGCCAGTTGCTACATTGGTTGCACGCCACGTACAATATTGCAGGGAGATTGGCAACAGGAAACTTAATCTCTGAATCTTTGGCAGAGCAAGTGATCTCACGGAACAAGGTACCATAAGGAGTCGACTGGTTTATGACCGAAGCTCTAGCATCACGGATATCCTTCCGTGATGCTGAGAAGGGTTCCCACGTGACCTCGTCCAAGATTGCAGCCAGTGCAGCAGCAGATACATGCGGACATTTCCGCCTCAAGGATTCTATCTTCTGGTACTTGTCAGGTTTGGGCACCATGAGCAGCGCGACCGCGAGCCCGCCCTCGAGCTATATACGGCA